TTGAATTAATAAATCATTCACGGCTCTGGCTGGAATAGTTAATACATTTTTTTGTGCCCCAGTGGAGGGGAAAATGCCCCACTTGACATAGCTTTATGACACCTTATGCCTAAACAGAATTAATGATTAGGCATTCTAACCTTATTTACTGCAGCAATGTAGGCAGTCTCAGAGAAAGATAAGATAAAAAACAGAAAGGGAATAGACCCTCTTAAAACTCAGGGGGGTTGGGTATCTCAGAATAGCATTAGTGATCCACAGCAGTCTTTGCACAGCAGGAGAATAGATTTGAGAAAGAGAGAGAGAGAGAGACGGCGTTGTATACGGCAATATCAGAACCCCTGCAAATTCACATTCCTTCATATCTTCATCTCGATGCGCCAAATCTCCAAAGGCAAGGAAGAAAGATGTTGCTAGAAAAGTCTCTTTCAAACAACAAGCATCTGATTATTTGTTTTGAGCATAGGGCCACAGGTTGACTGGATATAGTCTGTCACCTGGATGACTAATATACTAATATACTCCATCTTTTCATTTGCGACATTAAAGAAGGAGATTCTACTGAAAATACAAACGTTTGGGCCAAACATGAGTGGCTGTGGCTGCCGGCGCCTCGGCATAGTCAGCTGGTTCCATTGCTGACTATAGGGGGCGAAACTCTGGCCCCCTCGGAGAGGGTGCGCAATCTGGGGGTCCTCCTGGATTCGCGGCTGATGCTGGAAGACCAGTTGTCGGCCGTGACCAGGGGGGCGTTCTATCAGGTACGCCTGATACACCAGTTGCGACCTTTTCTGGACCGGGACGCCCTGCGCACAGTCACTCATGCCCTCGTCACCTCCCGCCTGGACTACTGTAATGCTCTCTACATGGGGCTCCCCTTGAGGAGCACCCGGAGGCTTCAACTGGTCCAGAATGCGGCCGCGCGGGCGGTGTTGGGAGGGACTCGTCGCTGCCATGTAACACCGCTGCTGCGCGAGCTGCACTGGTTGCCGGTGGCCTTCCGGGTGCGCTTCAAGGTGTTGGTCATCATCTTCAAAGCGCTCCATGGCATCGGACCTGGATATCTCCGAGACCGCCTTCTGCCGCAGATTACCTCCCATCGGCCGGTACGCTCCCACAGAGTGGGTCTCCTCAGGGTGCCGTCAGCCAGA